TATCCCTTAAACCATCAACACTGAGAACTTGTCATATACATGTTGATATTCTGAACCTATATGAATGTTTAATCTCGAGTCCCATTGTTATAATATCATTAAGACTAACTTTATTAATATTTTTTGTATCAGCTATTTGTGTTAAAATAAAAAATTAGTAGATTATTTGTATTTAACTGTATATTTTCTATCAATTATACCATGAATGTCAACAGTTTTTATATTTGTTATACTAGCAATAACATTCAAAACAGAATTAAAACCGTGTTTTATTTAGTTTTACAAATCAATACATATATTATTTATTAAAATAAAGTTTTGTTTGAGACATAGTGCATCATTTGCTACAATTGTTTACTTCAATCAAATAATTGAATGTTAATGGACGTCACTGAGAATGCCCACGACACAGAAATACTTAGAATGAGGTTCTAAGAAAGTTTGTTCAAGATAAGCTAAAGAAGGATAAGATTCTGTTATATCCTAGTAAGATAATTTAAGAAATGTTTAACATTTTACGAGAGATATGTCATCGCATAAAAGTGATTTTCTTTGTTTGCACTTTTTCAACTGTTTAAGAAAACAGAGTGAAGAGGAAAAGTTGTAGTCTATCTCTGACTATATGCATCTGTACCGCTGTAGTTGAAAAATACTAAACGTCCATACATACACTGCACTTCAATTTCTCTTTACCGTATACAATATGTCAACAAAAAGAATATTTAATGTGACGCTCAATGATCCCAGGGTTGCAGATGGCACAATATCCACAACAAATGTTGCGAGTTGCTTAGCGTTTACTGTATTTCTGTCTAATAAAAAGATCATGATGTGTCATTTATCATCTGAATATTTACCTTCGGACTTAGATCTTATTTATGATCAAACAAGGGAGTTAATCGAGAATGTAATAACCGAATGAATGAATTTTGATGATAAGTATAAGCACTGGTTTGTATACTGGGAGGATTAAAGAACGATCTGCTGTTAAAGCTCACAGAAGACACTATTCGTGCTTTAAAAGCTGATTCAAAAGTACAATCGACGGACGATGACAAAGACTCTGGTGTCACCGACGAGAAACTGCGGCGTTTTTTAGATTCTATCAAATATATTGGTTGTAGTTTAAATGAATTACCAATTACCAACAATGGTACGGAAGATTATTTATGCGAATCAACAGTGCTTGGTGAAAACGATAATGATGGTACTTCCAAAATTTTTGTTTATCAATATACAGTAAGAAAGATTTACAACTATGAAAAACGTCTCATTACAGTACGAATAGTAAATTTAATAGCTGGTGATACAAAACAATATATATTTCAATATGAGGGAAACAATATTCATTATAATCGTATGGTTTCAGCCGCAAAAGATTATAAAAATGATACATTGGGTACAATTCAAAACTTTATAATATCATCTATTTACGATCATAAAATAATTCATGCACTAAACTTACTATCACAAATTAATATAAACTGATAGGAACTTACATACAACAAACATTATCTACCCTGCTCTACTTTCCATTCATTTCATCTATCCTCATTTCCACATTCACTTCGCTCTCTTTTTATAGCTCACTCTCATCTGAATAAAACAAACTTGTACTTTTTGCTCAAGTCTATATCACACATCAGATATAAAGAATGACTTAACTGTTGGTTTCTCTACAGTCTAGCACCAGACACAAAAGTTTGGCTGACCATAGTCATGCATTAGTTTTCAGACTCATGGAGAAGATGGCCATTACGCTTGGAGCTGTTGCTTTATTCGCATCTAGTATGGACAAAATTTTATAAATGTCGAGTTCTATAACGCTAGAAACACCTTGCACTAGAACAACTGTGTTATACTGAGTAGCATATATTGTACGGAGAGATGCAGAGTAATTATTAGCTTTTGTTCTATTGTCATCAGGATTGTTCAAGATGAGTATGAAATACAGGTTTACTTTACGTACACTACGTTGCAATGACTTACATCAGTATTGACTAACGCGAGTGACATCATTTGTATGATCAATATGATCTTTTTTCGGTTGCAGACATGGTTGATCAAATTGTTTTTACACATTTCTATAACACTGGATTGTTTCTACTCTTCTTGAATAGATGATAGAATATTTATTACCATACGTTGTCCATTGGGATAACTTTTGCTGAACGAAAACAATAAACAGCTTAGTCACAGTTCAGTAAACTTAATAGGAAGAAATATATACATATCATCAAATATATACACACATCATCTATGTTACTCTATCAAGCTAATTATTTTCGCGAGGGAAACAGCTGCCTTATCTCTAAGGTAAAGTGACCATAACCCAAACCGTAAGGGTGATCGGCTTAACACAGTCATGGCTCACGATCAGCACTCCATACGGTGCTAGCATCAGACTTAGACCATTCTCGATAAGACATAAGACAGGATAATTCGGAAGAATTAACCAGGACTGGTTTTCTCCTTGATTCTCAAAATCTCGCTAAGCTTGAAAATAATAATATGAAAATATGAACTTCATGAATGGACATCGCCTGATGTTTTCTTGTTTGTTGATTAAATTATTTTTGTTCACTTCTCAAACAATAAAGCTGTCTTGTATCAATTAACTAAACTTTTTAATTACTTTCATACATACTAACCAAAAAATGATAT